GTGTTGGGTTTTGCTCAGGATCCTACAAAGCCTCTGGCCAGCTTGGATCCCCTCTGCACCCCCTGTACCAGAGGCTACCAAACACCACTTCATCGCCACAGCTCCCAGCAGCAGGACCAGGTCCCCTGTCTCCATAACTGGGATTTAGGAGGTTGTCCCTGCTCATCCCAGGTGTCCCCCTTGGTCTTTCTTCTTCGGTTACCACGGGCATTCCAGGCTAGACCTCAAGGTTCAAGCAAGCAGCTGAGGGCTTCCGCTGCGATAGTCATTGTCTGGATGACCACAGTTCATCAATTCATTCACCCATTAAAGGGCATCTCGGTTGCTTCCAAATCGGGGCAATAATGAATAAAATTGTCGGAATTGTGCCTGTGTAGGTCTTTTTTGGGGACATTGGTTTGACTTCGTTTGAGTAAACATCAAGCATGAGGATACATACGATCATATGGTAAGAGTGTGTTTAATTCTGTAAAAAATTGGCACACTCTCTTCGCAAGCAGCTGTGATGTTTTGCATTTCCACCAGCAGCTGATGAGAGCGGTCCTGTTGCTCCAAGCCTCCCCAGCATGGGTGGTTGGCCGATCTGCATTGTTCTAACAGGGGATTGGATATGAGCAAGGTCCCACCGTCATTCATGTTGGTAATTTAGGTCTAAAGGGGTTTTCCATAACACCCACACAGCTATTCATTGCTACTGTCTGGCTGGGCACAATTCACCAGCCACTTACCAAGCAAAAACGAACTTTATTTTTAGAACACACGCAGTACCCCAGGAGCTCTTCAGGAATTCCCTCAGAACCCAAATGCCACCACCAGCTTCCAGCGAGCCTCTCAACCCACCCCCTGCTCTTGAGGCAGATTGGCTGGGTCATGTGGGCAGAGCCAAAAGAGTCCCCCAATGAGCAGTTCCCTGGTCTGAAAGGGCGGAAACAGCCCAATGAGCATCACCGCAGAGGAGCCAATCAGCTGGCAGCTGGGAGTTTGCTGGGGCCACGGGGAGCCAATCAGCTAGAAGTTTGCTGGGGCCCCTTGGAGTGTGGCTCTCAACAATTCATTAGTTCCAGAAAAATGCATTCAGGCCCTGCTCTAGGTCAGGCCTGAGGCCAGGGGCTCTTTGCTGACCTTGTCCATTCTGAGACCAGTCCCTCTTCCCTCTCTGAGCCTTGCTTTCTCCCTCTAAAATCAGGTGACAAGCCCAAATGATCCAAGGACCCTTTCATTCCAACAACTAAAGCAATCCCTACGGGTAGAGTTCATTGGAAGCCAAATCTGCCAAGTCTTCAATTTCCTCCTCTGTGAAATGGGTTTCTTCCAAACAGCATGGACTTTCTGGGTCCTCGCGAGGATTAAATAAAGAATATACACAGATTGCTAAGTCCTCTTGCTGGTGCCCGCTGAGTCTTTATTTCTACTGTTACTCTGACACCTGCCAGGAACCCAGACATCCTGGGAAGAGGCCTGAAAGGCCATTTAGGGTCCGCCCTCTAAGAGGGGCACTGGGGTGGGGGAAGGGACGCGATTCAGCCGCAGGTGGGAGACTGAGCCTGCAGCCTGCAGGGGCACAGAGGAGGCGGAGGGACCCACCTGGCGGGGCGGGGCGGGACGCTAGACACCTCCCGGCGGGGAGGGGCTGGCCTGCGCTTCCCTGCGGTGGTGGCTGCCAGGGGGTGCCGAAAGGTGGCTGTGCGGGTAAGTCCTTCCAGCTGCGGCCAGGTAATCCCGGGCCTTGGTGCAGGAGAGATGATACCCCCCGAGGGCCAGGCCTGGTCCGGCTCAGGACGCTTGCTCTGTGAAAACGCTCAGCAGCCTCGCGTTTGGAGCGCTCGGGTCCAGCATGAATCATTCCTTTTTGAACTTGTCTAAATGTGTTTATAGAATAAAGCTGCGGCCCAGGGCTGCTCCAGGCCGAGCGGGAAGGTAATATGTTTTTAATTGGAGAGATTGGGGGAAGGAGGCAGCGGGCCAGGGTGAGCTCACCCCGCATGAATGTGGCTCTGGGCGGGAACAATGCACATTCAAATTCCTTGATTACCACGCCACCGGCAGGTCCGGGACCAGCTCGGGGCCATGCCCGCCTGGTGCGCACGGGCTCGGAGGATAGCAGAGCGTGGTCCTGGGATCCGGCCAGCAGAGTGGGTCAGAGCGGGGGCCCGAACTCGATGCACCCGGGAGCGAGGCAGGACCTAGAATCTTGCGCATCCAGGGTAGACCTGGGGAAGAGAGGTGCGTGGCCTTTGCAAAGGGACTGTCACTATTAAGCTCCGCCCACCCCATCATCAATTTCAAGAGGCCAGAAATCTTAGAGTCCTGATGTGAAATCTGATTTTAAAAGTTGGCTTTCTTTGATTTTGTTCTATTTTCTTCGTTTTTTGAGTATTTGGGCCAAGTAAAACAGATGTGCAGGCCATATTCGGCCTTTCTTTATTCCCTGCTCTGGACCACTGTGGACCTCACTTGGCCGTTTACCAGCTACCAGGACTTCAGGCAACTTTCTCTGCTTCTGAGAGCTTTGGTTTCCTCAGCTAAAAATCTGGTCGCTTAATACTACTTTTCGTGACTTTGGGCATGATTTCCAAGATGGGAAAAAGAAGAGAGCCCAAGAAGGTCATTGGGACAGCCCTGGGACTGCTGCCAGGCTCCAGCTCCGATGCTTAGTAGGTGAATGTTTTTGTCCTTTGTCCTGTCAATCATCATGATTGACAAGATTCTGAAAGCTGGATGTCATTCCCATTTTACAGACAGAGGAAACAGAGGCTGAAACTGAAACTTGAACTAGCTTTTGGAACTTGAAGAAGTTAAAAACATCCTCTGGATTTAAGGAACACTCATCACAGTCAGAATTAGGGGGACTCAGTTAAGAGAAAGTGGCTGACTTCTGGTGGCAGCACCATGCCTAAGGAAGATACTCAGTGTTTTGGGTCCTAATTCAATAATAACACATGCACCTACTCAGTTAGCAGTTGCTTCTATTTGTTTGTTTTTGCAGAGTAAAAAAGGCAGAGCTGTCAATGATGTGATGAAGTGGGCCCCCTAAGCTGCTGCATTTCTATCCTTTCCAAAGGAGGACACATCAATACATACTGAAAGCTTTAGGGCTGGGGATGTGGCTCATTTGGCAGGCTGCTTGCCTTGCATGCACAAGGCCCCAGGTTCAATCCCCAGCACCACTAAACACAACAACAACAACAAAAAAAAAACTTTAATCAATCCTAAAGAAATAAAAGAGCTGTGGGCAAAGAGTTTCAAAAAAGAATTTGCAAAAAATCCAGTGTTCACCATAAAGGAAATAGTTAAATAAGTTACATAATATCCATACCAAGAATATTATGTAGCCTTAAAAGAATGCTAGTAACCCACGGAAATACTTATGATATAATGTTAAGACAAGAAAGCAAAGTACAAAATTAAGCAAAAATATATCTCATACTTAAAGAAATACAAAGAAAGACAGGAAGAAAATTCATCTCAATGTTAATTCTCTGCATGGTGGGATTTAATTTTTTTCCATTCTTTTGTTGAAATTTCTCTCTCATGAGCATATTATATATATTTTTTTAAATTTATATTTATTATTTGTAGTTGTAGTTGGACACAATACCTTTACTTTACTTATTTATTTTTATGTAGTGCTGAGGATCGAACCCAGGGCCTTGCAAAGCGAGCGCTCCACTGCTGAGCCATAACCTCAGCCCAGCATATTACATTTTATAATCAGAAATGTGTCTATTTGCTAGATGCAACGGGCCTCATCTCATCCGGTTTGGGAAGCTGACGGGTCTGAGCCAGCTATCATATTTATTTAAGAAACAAAAGCCCCAAAATAAACTCTACAGGGGAAAATACTGAAATGTAAAGTGGTTATTATTGGCTGATGGGATTAGGGGTGAGTTTTTGTGCTACTTATTTATGCTTCTATGGGTTTTTCAGACTTTTAAAATAGAGAATTCTTTCAAATTGGCAGACAAAGAGACAAACCATAAAATACTCTCTTCATTGACAGCCGTCCCGGGCAGGGGGACGTTTTCTGTGGATTCTTCTCACTCGTGGCTCTGTCTGCATTTTGACCTTTGTATCTGTCCACCCTGGTCACCTCGGTGACAGAGGCTGAAGACTGAATCAGTTGGACTCTTCAGAAACATGACATCAGGACTCTTGTAGCTCATGGAATAGCTGCTGGGCTCAGTTAGTTATTAAGACCTGTTTTCTTCCACTTTGCCAAGTTAAAAACTGCCTCTCATCGGTTATATTTAGTTGAGACAAGCAGGTCTGAGGCCAGCCCGTCGCTGAGTCAGAAGGAACCTTCTTCTCACTCTTTTGTGGAGGGCTCACCTGCTGACTTGGAAGATGTCTCTGGCATCGTTGCCAAGAGAGAAGACCCATGTCTCCTCTGGGCAGAGCTGCCTGGGTCCCGTGGGCTTCATCGATCATGGCATCAGCTTACCTAGTCCCCCTAGACTTGGAACTGAAGCCTCCTGAACTTGAACTCATTGCTGCCTTCCCTCAGCCTTCTTTCTTCCCTTATTCTAAAAGGGGAATGGAGGGTCAGCTTGACCCAGCGGCCCTGAGGGTGCCATAGGGCAGTTTGGAGCGAAGCCTTGAACCCAGGCTGGGAGGTCTCCACCCTTCTCCACTCCTACCTTCGTCTTTCCTGGTTTATTTCCCATGTGCACTTTGGCCAGTGGAGCACGTCCCCAAATCCTCATGGGGCTGGCACCCCTAGGTAGCTTTAGGAGAGGGGCTGGTCCCCAGAAAGCCCAAGGCAGGATTAGAGGGTTGGTGCTTGCAGCCCCACAGACCTCTGGGGAAGAGAGGAAGACTGCGGGCTGTACTGGGAGATGACATCAGGAGCACCTGTGACATGGCCTCCGAACCCAGACAGGACTGCTGA